ACTGAACATCATATTATACCACCCGAGCTACAAAAACAACAATCAACATTGTTGTTTACCAAACTGTCATATATATATATATATATTTAGAGAGGGAGAGAAAATCAAGTCACGTTTGTTGCGGTCAGTAGCATCTAATCCACTTACAAAACATTGAATCACAGCACAGATCCTTCAGTGGACTGGCTCTGAAAGAACTGTCCATCCAAGAGTCACCCGGTGTTGCAAACATGGTTATCGTGACGAAAATACACTTCCTGAGTACAAGTATATGAATGAACTGACAGGAGATTACTAGATACGTATGCCTGATGAGGGGCAAGAACCGGGAAACTGGTAGTGTGGTTTCAGGAAATTTCGTCCAGTCATTCACATACTACTTATACATTCATAAGCTATTCGAATAATGGTCATGTGGGGCACTCGCTGGACTCAATGTATCACATGCGAGAGATGATATGATCATTCCACTAGCGCAAGTTGTGTGTGTGATGGAGGCAGGGGAGAATACTGGTCGGAAAATTATTGTCTGAGATGTATTCTTACTGTCTTCCATATACACGTGTGTTTGCTATGCCTTCAATGAGACAGTACTAGAAACATATGCCCTCCTACACCCTCCTCTGTGATACTGGGAGGTTTAATCACAACTTTAGAGTTAGCTTTAGGATCATTGATTTTTATTGATTACGCGAATACTTTGGGTTCTCTCGATCGAAGAGTGCCCATTGCACATCTTTCCCACTGTAGTCTGATACCTGAAGTTTTAAATGTTTTAATCGACTACTTCCCTCGTAGTTTACTTCATTTAAAGCACGCAGTCGTCTTCCATAAATGTCGGTCTCAGTGTCTTTCAGACTACTATTTTATCCTCTTTCACTTTTTTGTTATTTACATACAGAATCTCTCCATTCCCCGTAACTTCACTACTTGCAATTATTGTGCTAATATTGGGGTTGGTTCTCACCCCCTAATTCAGGCCATTTTTGTCCTTTCCAGGATAGTCATAAAGAACTTCACAACTGGTCTGTTCCCCAATAAGTGCACTGAGGTTCCCTTTTGTCTCAAGACCGACAGTCGTTATCTTTCATTGGTAATAAATTTCCCTGACATTATAGTTTTTAATCAATGCATCACCAAATAGAATTTTGTTAATTACCTCGATGCCCCCCTCACATGTAACCTGTCTTGGTTCGCTCATGTTATTAACGTTTTTAGAAAAGTTCAATAACTCTCATTGTATGCCTACGGTCTGAGGAATCTGGTCATATCACATAGCCTAATTCTTAATTTCGTGATTTCCTGCATTCTTTCACACTGGTTTTACCGCTCCGCGATATTCATCTTTGGTTTGTCCCGATACAGTGGGATTGATAGAATTGTTGTGGTAGAGCTTTTTGTTCCCAAACATTTCGACGCTTGTGTTACCATTAGTGAGGAGATGACACGTGATCAAGAGCACCGTCTGCATCCTGAAATCGTGTCAAACTCGCTCCAAATACCGACTCCTTCCATATCCAGAAGCTTTGTCGTTCCTCGTCTAGTTGGTCAATTAACAAATAGTGATCACTCACCTGAGAGAAAGATTCTTGTAATAATATCTTTTACCGAAGTATCGAATTAATTTTCTTTTATTGTTTTTTTATCACAAAGTGCATATGTTCACTATGAACGCTCGTACATTGTTGAAAATTCACCCCTTAGGTGCGCAAAGCGTTTCTTGGCAGGACTTGAAAGTTTCTGCGGTGAATTGCTCGCATTAAGTGACCGCTGGCATACAGATTGCAGTGAGAAATGAGTTGTGCGTAATACGCGTGGGATGAGATTGGGTTGAACAAGAGGATAGTTTCTCGCAGCGATGAGTACTATGTGTATGGTTTTCCGTGAATTACGGTCATCAATGGGAGGATTTTCATCCCCTCACCAGAAAAAAATCCCGTGCATTTTTGTCGTGTACTCTCCACACGTGATGTACCGAAACTTGTAGCATCACTGTTATTGTGCATCGAACCGCCCTTATTTCGGTTTTCGTATCTCAGTAAATGTTCACACAGACGCACACACTCCCTCATTGCCGTTCCTGAAAGAAGTGTTCCATCAATTGTCAATGGATAAATGAAGCTGAGCGATGTCAAGAAAACTCTCACTTTTATTCTCTGTTGACCACAGAGGTTCACTTTCACTTGGTCCTGAAAATGAGTCCGGTTCCTGGTCACTTCATATTTTATATATATATATAATATATTACTATATTATATTATATATATATATATCCTAACGTTAACTTTGTGTGTATTGCGAGCGTGACAGTGATCGGTGATGTCCACTTCACTGTATTCCACTGTACAATGATGATGATGATGATGCTAATTTTGTCTCACCTGTGCATCTCATTTGCTCATTTGCAGGTTAAGCAGGCTAAATAAATGCCAAGCGGGAATTATTGGTAGTCGAAAATTCACATCTCAAATGCCATTTTTTTTGTTTTGCATATTCCCACCGTATTTCTTCTTCTAATCGAAATGATATTCCCTTCTCGTTCTCTCCTTCCCTCTGACCTAATTGTAGCATTCAGATTTGTTTGACAGTGCAGCTGCCTAAATGGTTTGGTGGATTGGCTGGTCAGGCCATCTTCATTGACACCGAGGGAAACTTTGTGCCTTGTCGCGCGCAACAAATGGCCGAAGCTCTTGTTGCTCACTGTCGTAAACATGTCACATTTGAAGGTAACTCATTTAGCTTTTTATGTAAATTTACCGAGCAATCATTTGGATTTTGAGCTTCACAGAACTCCTAGTTTTTTCACCTGCTATGAGACTGCTTAATTTTATCGGTGTTGTACCAGTTAACTTGTAGCGAACTATGCCTTGACGTAAATTGTGCAACCTAGCTTTGTTCTTCCCTCTCTTCAAGTTTATCTCGGGGGAAAAAAGGTTTCAGTTTTCTACTCGGAACTAAATCGTCTGTCAACCCAATCGAGTAACCGGGTAATTTTATCTTGTAGTTCTATTCCTTTCCTCATCTCGTGGGGTGGGTGGGGTGGAAGTGGGGCGGCGGCGGCGGTGGCGGCGAAAACCACATCGTATTAGCATATCTAACAAATAGAATAGAACAATGCAGTGTTACATTAAACACCCCGGTTCGCGAAAGATAAACGGTAAATTGTAGAATGTAGTCGAGTTTACTTCCTTTAGGTGTATGAATCCATTCAATTTTAGTTCAGTTTGTGTAACCAATTACCATGCACTTCCGTCCGCCGGTTTTGATTGCTGTCTTTTGGCTGCTCATTTGGATGAACAGTATGAGAAAGATAGAAAGCTTGAAAGTAGATTCGAATAGAAAATGGAGAATTTCATTGGACTCTGGTTCTGAATAAATTGAGAATATACAGGAATGCTATTGTTTACGATGGTGCCATTTCATTCAGTGTCTCTCATCATTGAGTACAGTGATCCCGAGGTCCCCATCCAGGGAGCCTAACGTGACCTGTGTAACCGAGTGTCCTGGTTAGGGTTTTCATACCATCGTACCAGGTCTTATCTTTACCATACTCGGTTTTATTCCACCCACTGCCTGCCTCGGCGAACATCGCCATCCGAACCTAATTGGTGACATGCGTAACACATATCCCAAGCAGCCTAATCTATGGACGTCGACCACTTACTTCTGTGTGTGATCATGATTACCAAATCTCCTGCATCTAACCTCAGCATTGCTCGTCCGGTTGCCACACTAGATTCGTGCAAGGCTGCAGAGCATTAAATCCGTTCGACTGATGAATGTTTACGATGTCATCGACACTTGTTTTAAGTAAGACACCGGTTCTGTTAGCATAGTTCAAAATTCTCGAGATTTGGATTGATTTTAATCTGTGAACATGCTCTTAACTAAACGATTACGGCCGCACACTACGGTATGTTGTCCCGTGTGCAATGAAACCGCTTTTAAAAGTTAAATTATGGAAAACGGTGGTATATGAAAATCTTATTACTTATCTTATTATTCCTCTACTCTTTACTCACCCTACTGTGAACAGCAATATTATTGTTGTTACTTTTTCGTGCCCGTCATGCGATCAAATACACCGGGAATATCAGATGACGATTGTTCAACTAAATCCGGATGCCAAAGAGGCGTTTCACATTTGTCCCATGTCTCAGTATTCTCTTCCGCATCAATGTTCACCACGTATTTGAACACAGAGAATGTAAACTGATCATCGTGTTCATAGGTTGGCGTCCAGCCTCATGTTTCCGCTGATTGATTTCCGCACGAGTGTCTGTTTTCGTCTTTCTATGCCTGATTTGATTGAATTATTCTGGCAGATTTATGGAGAACAACTCGGTCCGGATAAAGAATAATTAATAATAGCTTAAAGGCCACATAAGAACCCGCACAAGCACAGGATTAAACAGTTCACAGTCACTATTCATTCCGATGTCGTCAAACTTTAAGGTTCATACCTCTCGGAACGCCTCTGCTCTCGGTGATCCCATCCAGACTGCATTGCTAACGATGACGGCAGAATTAAACATCTGATTCATAAGCAAAGAAGCACTCTTGTATTGCTGCCTGGAACGCCTGGAAAAAAAGAACGAGTCCACTGATCCGATGCTAACCTGGGATTGTTCCGTTTCTGACGGAATATATCGTGTGAAATCACGAACGGAACTTGATTGACACAACTCTGCAACATTTCTTTCATTAACCGAAATCTGATTATACTAATCATCCTTCTTTATTCGCGAATATATCCCATACAGGTGACAGTTTATGGCTGACGAGACGAGGTACATGTTCAATCACAAATCATGTATTCGTTGTCCCTTATACCGGGTGAAAATACAGGTGCCATTGCAAAAAAGGAAAGAAAACAATAATAATTCAAATGAGTAGTTTTCATTCCCCTTATCGAATATTGTACAGCCCGATTTTAGGGGAGGCCAAGCAAGCATCAGAGGTCACATTGAGTTGGGTACTGTAATCAGCGACTTGGGATTTGAACACATGATCGTTTGGACTACTCTTGATATTTATCTAATCATCGCCTCTCAATTGGATTTTGGTTTCGAAAGATTTCCTTCACCATGATCGAGGGCTAACAGTAATGGTATCCGATGTTATGATTTTTCCACGCCGCTGAACAACACTCAGAAGGTTTGAATAGTGCATATACTACTTCGTTATCTACAGTACTGGCCGATTGTGATGCACTAAAATATTTTCTTTACGATCAAAGGGAGTTTCATTATATTTCGCCCATGATAATGCTTTAG